AAGTAGAGATAAAGCCCATTTAATGACTAAAAAAAATACGTTGCAGCTGAGAATGGGACATGATTGCAGCTTCTGACTACTCTGAGGATTAGTCTTCTGGATCTCAGGTGTACCGTATTACATGCTTGAGGGATGAGGGATTGTTAATAGTTACCATTTGTTCTCCAAAGTACTGTTTAGAAAGCAAGGAACAGCTTGCAAAGTTTTTTTTTTTTCCTCCATTTAGTGAAAAGTTAAACTCTTTATAGGCCAAATAGACAGTTTACATAGTGCAACAGATAGCAAGCTGAGATTGCACACTGCAAACTTTCTATTAAACCATGGTGGGTTTTTTTTTCTCTTTTTTTTGTTTTAACAATGTATTCATAGTAAATTTGAGGCACATGCACAGGCATCCATAAAAACTTTTGACAGTTGATCCAACAGTCTGAAAATACTGGAATGTTTGAAAGTGGATTTTTAGATTAATCTAGCCTGGAGAGATTTTTCCCTAATCTTTTCATACTAAAGTTGTGATTAATGCTGTCTCTTTCTAGTGTTTCATAGAAAATCATGTATTTCGATGACCCCATTGAGTGTATTGAACATGAGTTGTGTGCCTGAAGTGTTCCTGGATCTAACAAACACGTTGGTTTTTACAGGCGGATCGTTTGAAGATAGATGTGATTGACTGGCTTGTGTTTGATCCTGCACAGAGGGCAGAAGCACTTAAGCAAAGCAACGCGATCATGAGGAAGTTTTTGGGTACTAAACTTCACAGATTTTATACTGTAGACCTTTTAACTTTCTAAATGCTGTTTGTGTTCTCACTGACTCTTGGAACTATGTATGAATTAATTTTGCATCCAGTCTATTAAAAAGTATGGTTAATATCTATCTTTAAAAAAAAATAAAAAACCCCTCATAATAGCTTAATGTTATCTTTTGTTAGTTTTTTTATAAATAAAGTATGGAGATTGCAAAGCTGTTGATACTCATCAACTCATGTTGTTGTAGCATCCAAGAAACACGAGGCTGCAAAAGATGTGTTTGTGAAGATTCCACAGGACTCTATAGCAGAAATCTATAACCAGTGGGAAGAACAGGGAATGGATACTCCACTTCCAGCTGAAGATGACAATGCTATAAGAGAACATTTATGTATTCGGGCATATCTGGTGAGTTTCAAACACGCTGAAATCCAAGTTATTACCTAGAATTAATGCTGACTTTGCCTCTATAGTGAAATCATAAGCCTAAGTTTGATTTCTTTTCCAATTATTGAACGTCCTATAGTTGAGATTTCACAAAACAGTGAACTTCTTTCTGTATTTGAAAGTACGTGGGCTTTTGCTCATTTAATGAGATTCTTTCCATTATATAAATAAGTCCAAAATGTCCAAACACTTTTTCTATTGGCAATCCAGGAAGCCCATGAAACCTTCAATGACTGGTTCAAACACATGAACTCAGCTCCACAGAAACCTTCTTTGCTACCTCAAGCAAGTTTCACTGAGAAAGTGGCCCATGAACATAAGGAAAAGAAGTATGAGGTAGGTAAAATTTCATAGCATAGTTTATTATAAGTCATTTACAGTCGTATTTTTCCTTTCTAAAAAGGAATTAAATACTCTTCCCTCATTGCTCCTACCTCTCTTCCTCCTGCCTCATCCCCCCGCCTCAAAAAAGTTGTTTTTGTACTCTGTATTTAATTTAGAAAAGTATTTGTTATATCAGCATGGCAGAGTAAGTCATCTAAAATGTCTAAAATGGCTAATGCTCTAATGCCTTTGCTTCTGAGCAACCTGATGACACTCTTTTTACAGGGAATTAAACAAGCATATAATTGCTTGTTGGCTAAAGATTTTCTTTAAAAAGTATATGCCAGGAGGAAAATTCTATGTTAAAATAGATCTTGGGAGCTTAATGTTCTGTAGTACATTTTTTTTGTTTGTTTCCTTACCAGATGGACTATGGTATTTGGAAGGGTCACTTGGATGCCCTTACAGCTGATGTGAAAGAGAAAATGTACAATGTGTTGCTGTTTGTTGATGGAGGATGGATGGTTGATGTTAGAGAGGTAAGTTAATTTTTCTATCATGGGATAGACCACAAAGAGCTGGATTTTATGCAGTTGTAGCTTTGTGGTCATCTTCTAGCTTCGTGCGCTGCTGTCTACTCGAATACAATTCACTGTCTTGCTGTGACCTGTTATGGGTTTCTCCCCCTTTAGCTGCCGTATCGGTCAGGTCTATAGGCTTCCTAGCCTGTTTCTACCTCTGATCCTCCTGCTGCATGGTGTTGCTTTCTGAAGGAAAAGCTTTAATGCTAACACATCTTTTATTACGGCAAGGATGCTGAGGACGACCCTGAACGAACGCACCAGATGACTCTGCTGCGCAAGCTGTGCCTGCCAATGATGTGCTTTTTACTACACACGGTGTTGCACAGCACGGGCCAGTACCAGGAGTGCCTGAGGCTGGCCGACACGGTCGCCTCCGAACGACACAAGCTTTACACGGTGAGGCACGGGGAGCCCCGCGCTGCGTCGCACTGAGCCCTGCGGGGGCGGGAAAAAAGGGCTGATATGGAGAGGAAGACACCATGTTCCTGAACTTAAATTTCTTCATCTGTCCCATCCGCTGTCGTAGTAAAGCATTTTCTGGTGCACTGACTTAGAGAGTCAGAGTTAACTGCTGTCCTCTTGAAGCTGGCACGTTTGTGACAAGCAGTTCCAAGTATTTGTAGTTACTGATTTTCGGAGGGGGCTATTGAATTAAAATAAGTTGAATTATACTTTACATCTTTTCATGACATGTCAGAAAACTTAATAAGCAGGTTGTGTTTCTAAGTAATTGGTTTACCTAACCTCCCTGAAAGAACCTAAGATTAAATCACTGAAAGTAGTAATAATTACTAAAAAATTAATTAAAAAACCCCAAGGGTTAGAAAGCCGAGAGGAAAAAAAAGTCCACCAAGGCTGAGAAAGGGCAATCCATGCACATTCATCACAGTCTCTAAGTTCCCTGGCAGTAGTGACCCGCTTGGTACTCACCGGCTCCCAGGCCTGTCCTGGAAGCTGTTCTGAACCGTAAGGTTATGTGCCACTGTCTTGGAAAGAAAACCTCAAACGCTGAGTGCCTTAACTTAACCACCATCTACTTTTACGCCGGTGTTATGCACTGCAAATAACTATCCCTTTTTTATGTATTTTTATTCTCAGGTGTTTTCAAAGGAAGAACTCCGAAAGCTTCTGCAGAAGCTGAGGGAATCTTCCCTGATGCTCCTGGACCAGGATCTTGATCCCTTAGGATATGAAATCCAATCCTAGAACGTCATTCCAGCTATAGTGCCAGAACCTCCTGCCCATGAAGTCCGCATTTCCCACCTGTAAAAAGAAATAAAATCAAGAACAAATCCCTTGAAAATGTTCTCACCTTTGTGGAACAAAACCAACCCTCCCTCCCCCTTCAGGGGCGGGGCCCCCTGACGGCAACTCGAGCGAGGACGTTTGTTACGTGCCCCTTTTCTGGACGTTTTCTAATAAAAGCGCTTGAACCTCCTGCCCATGAAGTCCGCATTTCCCACCTGTAAAAAGAAATAAAATCAAGAACAAATCCCTTGAAAATGTTCTCACCTTTGTGGAACAAAACCAACCCTCCCTCCCCCTTCAGGGGCGGGGCCCCCTGACGGCAACTCGAGCGAGGACGTTTGTTACGTGCCCCTTTTCTGGACGTTTTCTAATAAAAGCGCTTTGCCCGCAGCCGCCTCCTGCCCTTCGCTCGGCCGCGCGCCCTGAGGCGGTGGCGGCGGCTCCGCCCGGGGGCGGGGCG